GGCCAATAAAGTGGTTAATTTTGCGTTGAAACATATGCAACCTTATCAGCTTTCACTACTGACTAAATATCAGTGAAATATCTGAAGCGGTTCTGAAAATATTAATTAATTTACATTTTTTTTCTAAAACTTCAACACCCCGAGTTTTTGTAAGGAAACATTTTTGTACCACAGTTTATTAAGAAAGCTAACATTAATTTCTCATGTAGATTCACACCCTTAAATATTCGTATGTCATTAAGGAACAACCTGTATAAAGTTGAACAATATTCAAAACCACCACGGTAGTATTCATAGGTTAACCAACTTACAAAATTGAGTACTATCTACCATCCAAGTAACGCTAGAATTTGCTTCAAATATTAAATTCTTCCATCCTGTGGCCTCCCAAAGAAGCTTTGCAGATGGGTAGCTGTCTTCCTTGCCGGCCCCATAACGTCAACGCGGGTGTTCCCCAGGGATCGGTCTTGGCTCCGACACTGTTCCTCTTAAATATCGACGACCTCCTTTCCTGTACGACCAATCCGATCCGCAGCTTTCCTGATGACAGCATTCTACATGCAAAAATTCGCGTAACTGCTTTGATTTAAAAACACGGTGAAACGTTTCGCAACATGTTGAGACAAAATATTTAGATCTTTCTGTGGCCGTACTAGATTCCTGTATACTTTATCTGAAGTCACTTGAAACACTGTGAAATACCGGGTGCGTTTTATATATCTATATTTAACACGCTCTGTTACTGCAAAAATCGACAAATTTCGCAGCAAATATCCCCCGTATAAGAACAAAGGCAGTTTCACCGGTCCATGTGGAGTAAAGCACGCCTATGCGTGGACAAAGCCAATGAGAAAGCGTGTATTTCAGAGCTCCGAACAAGTGCAGGTGGCTACTGAAAATTGAAACAGTTTAGCCAGTGCCGTGTAGCGGTGAATAAACGTGTTTTCTTTAGTCTGTCCGTGTTTTTTCATAGATTTTATTAGTTTGTGTGTTTTTGACTTTTAAATACTCAGTTTACTTGTTGATTTAATTGTTGTGTTAATTGTTCTTGTGTGTCCTAAATATGGCCCTTTGGAGACCTTGGGAAAATGCTCCAAGCCACGAGGAGATGGTTGATGAATCTGTGCAGGCAGAATTCTTTCATAAAGATTTAGAGGAACAGACCCAAAGAGTAATCCTAAATATGTATGATTGTCTGAAAAACGAAAATCCAGATTCCTCGCAAAATCAAATTTTAAACAGAATTTGTATCCTGACAAAAATCAGTCGGTCTACCATTTATCGGGTTGTAAAAAGGGGAGATGTAGTCAACCATTCCTTCCACAGAAAGCGCATAGGGCAAAAATTAAAAAGAATAGACGTGGGTTTTCAGGAAGATATTCGTCGTATAATATACGAATTTAATAAAGAAAATTTGGTGCCCACGTTGGAAATGATACGGGATAAATTAAAAGACTATCCTGAAGATTTTTATAATTACAAATGCTTAGACTCACTGCACTGTATTGTAAAACTGTGAGGTTTTCAATACAAAAAATTAGATAAAAGAATGGTGATTATGGAGTCGTCTCGAATCGTTGAATTGCGCCAAGAATTTTTGCCCAAAGTTAAAATCTGTAGAGAGCAGAAAGGAAATCTGATTTACCTGGATGAAACGTGGTATGATACCCATGATGTTGTGCAGTACGGCTGGGTTGACGACAGCAACAAGTGCATTTTAAATGCACCATGCAACCATGGAAAACGAATCATTATTCTCCATGCTGGCAGTGAAAATGGATTTATACCTAATGCCTTGCTGTTATCTGCCAAAAATATCAAAGAATCATGTGCCGACTATCATGAGGACATGACCTCCGACTTATTTGAAAAGTGGATAGAGCAGCAGTTAATACCAAATATTTCCCCAAATTCAGTGATTATTATGGACAATGCGCCATACCATTCCCGACAGAAAAACAAAATTCCGAATACAGGCACAAAAAAACAAAACATTATTGATTTTATGAAGGATAAGGGAAATACCACAAAAATCAACCAAAGCCATATTATTGGATCTTATTAAAAGACAAAAATTTGAAAAAGAGTACGTTGTTGACAATCTGCTTCAGCAAAATGGCCATGAAGTATTACGTCTACCTCCCTATTACTGCATTTTTAACCCGATTGAGTTGGTCTGGGCTGCTTAAAAAAAAAAAAAGTAAGAAAACATAATCAGACCCCTCAATCAAGTGAATCGCTATTGGCCACAATAAGAGATGCAGTATCTCATATTGCTGCCACAGACCTATGGAAGCAGTGTTCTAGGCATATTATTGAAAAAGAAAATGAATATTGTGTTTTGCCTCCTGTAAATCCCGTTGTAATTCCTCTACAAGATGACTCTAGCGACAGCTCCGAAGGCGAGGATGATATATAAATACCTATAATGTAAGTCTTTATATACCTTTTTATATACCTACCTGCTATGTAAATATTTGCCTATGTCAAACGTTGGAATTCTGTAATTTTTCCATTTCTTAACTTTCAGTCAACATAAATTAAACTCCCAATATAAGTATTTTTTATCCCAAATCAAAAAAATAAGAAGATAGTAAAATCCATTTATTGTGATATAAAACCATTATTATTATCGTTCTAAATAAATGACCGCACGCCTATGATACGTCATGAAATTACAAAGGACCAAAGGTTTTTATGCTATTTCAAGTGACTTCAGATAAAGAATACATTTCCCCATCACTATTCGGCTAAAGACGCCGGCGCTTGGTATCCCCTTGTCACGACGCATCCGATCGATATCAGCGTCATTTTACCAGCGCCGTTTCGCCTTGACAACACTTCCCACCTGTGTAATACGCGAACAAACATTAATTTTTGTTTTTCATCCACACGTACTATCACTCATACAATTGAGACGTTCGACATTTGTTGTTAAGGTAGGTTAATGTAGCAAGTTCGTGACAGCAGATTGTGGCTAGCTTTTGTTGGACTGTCTGTTGTCTTAATCAACGTTCTTTATATAATCAGCTTCAGCCAAAGCTTTGAATGTGCATGCAAAGGTAAAATAGAGAATCGTACAGTCAGCGAGTACAAACCCACCGACAATATTTGATACTTTCTATATACTGAAATTCAGTTTTCACGATCTATACACGTTGTTACTTGATCATAGGCCGTAATTAGAAGTGATCATTTCTGGACCGAATTGAAGTAGAAAATGACATTTAAACATGTGTTCTAAAAAGTGCCATAAATGTATATTATACCACCCTTTTCTATTTCTTCCATACGTATTATGTGACAGCATACTCTTTAGATTCTGTTGAAAATGTCTGGATATGAGATACATGGATCTGCTTATTGTTCGATATATTCGTTTTTATCTGGTAGGGTTCAGCATGTACCTCTCACCTATAAAGTTCAAGGGTGTGTGGTACATGCTGAATCTACTGTACTGGAGGTGGATATGGGTGTGCCGCAAGGCTCTGTTTTGGGACCTGTTTACTTACATAATATGTGAATGGCATTGAATAATGTTTTCCAGTGCCAAATTCACTTTGCATGCTGATTGCACATCCGTCTCTGGCAGGCGGCTGTGAAACAACATTGTTAAATGCATATACTAATCTGTATAACAAAAAACATGATTAATTTTTGATACACGAGCTTCATTCAAATTCAGATAAAAATTCTGCGATTTCGTAACAAAGAAGCGTGACGTCTTTTGAGCTAAAACTAAAATGCACTCCCAGGCAAATCAGCCACAATACAAACTTTCTGGCGTGTAAATTGATGAACACCTTAAAATCAAAAGCCATTTTGAGTGTTTATGAACGACGCTATTAATTTAAAAACTTAAGGACTGTTCTCAATCTACCTCAATTGCTTACAATATATTACGCCCAGTACAATCGCAGTAGACGTATGGAGTGGGCTTTTGGGGAATGCTACAAACGCACAGAAGCTATTTTTGAGTCGAAAAAGGGCATACTATAGACGGAATAACCCTTGGTACCAGCTGTAAGGACATTTTTAGAAAATATAAAATTTCAACATTGCCATCACTTTTTATTATTCAAGTGAGTCTATACATTTTTAAATAGACAGTGTTTTCGGCTTAAGTGCATACTATTTATTAATACCTGCAAAAAATTAGATCCATGCTCCTATTCTAAATTTGACATTAGTTGTAGATAGCCAATTGTTTTAGGCCCAAAATGTTTCTAACTTGTTAAAGCAAGTGTTAAATGCTGTGTTAATTTGAAGTCCTTTAAGGCAGATACGTATTTTATTGAATGAATCCTTTCGTACAGTGCCTGAATTTGTTTATAGATAGTTGTTTATTTCCTCTGCTTATCTATTTATTTATTTCATGTATATAATATATATTATATTTGTATATAATGTATATCTTATATTGCATTTCATGTATGTTTTTCGATTGCTTGCCACAGTTATGTGGAAAGGAAACGGAATTTGAATACTGTGGACCAGCGTCAGCTCTTTGATTGGTCGGTGTGTTCTTTCAATAAACATTCTTTATGATTAGCTCTAGTCGAAGCTCTAAATATGCATGCAAAGATAACATCAGTGAAATAGTCAGACAGACAATATTCGATATTTTCAGTACGCTGAAATTTACCCTCCATGATCTATACAGAGTGTTACTTACTGATAGGCTGTTATTACAAGTGTACGTTCTTCAACTAATTTTTAAGTAGAGATGTGCATAATAAACGTGTGTTCTAAAAATTTTTGTTTTTAAGATACAGGGTGTCAAAGTTTAAAAAACTTCTCTATTTATATTTATATCTCATTTCTTTGGCAATATTGTTCATTGAAAGAAGTCGCTAACTCGAAGATGATTCATCATTGACAAAAAAATGTATGCAACAGCAGATAAAGGTGCAAACGTTTGTCTCCTGGTACCTCTTCGTGTGTTACTGAGATTCCGATGAGAAGAATGAAAGCCTAGAAAAATCTTGTATTCTTTTCAGATAATGGCTCGGACAGATGATACCACTTTTGGATATGCTTACCCTTCAGGAGGATGGCTGGCAAAGGTCAGGAATGCCCTATCTCAGTTTAGCGATATATTCAGCGAGTTTGACAAATACGTTGCTCCGGCATATCACCATGACAGATGCGAAAGGTGAATATATTATTGTATCTAGATATTCCAACTTTTTGAGTTTTAAGCCTTGTTTCACCTGAAACACAGCACTCATTGTTTTCAACATTTTGACTACAAAATTGATGTGACCAGTTTTTGAATATGAATATCGATGGTGAAATAATTTTATTATCGGGAAAAAAATATCACCGAACATGACACTTACTTTGGGCGGCGGAGAGCTTCAACAGTTTTTCCAGATCTGTTATATAATTTGTTGATACTAAAATAGAAAATAAAATCACACGGATAAGAAGTTATAGTTTTGTCAACAAAACCGATATCAAATAATCGATATACTTCATATCATTACAATCAAGTAGATTGACTCCGCACACAATTATCTCTTTTACTTACTAGGATACTGGTGAGGAAATATTTATTATATTATTTATTTGGTCGCAAATAAGTTGTAAAATGAGATATTATGTTTTTGGATCTTGTATGACATGTACATCACGACACATCAAGTCACTAATTTCCGTTGGTCTGTCTGTTTGTCTGCCCTCTGATCCTGTCTATGACTAGGGAAATATCGCTCGGATTTTGCTGAAATTTTCACACAAGGCTTTGCAGCTTTTGAAAATCGGTGGCGGTGGAGAACAAGGTTAAAAATGACAAAAAAAACAGAGATTGCTAGAAGCTTCGCTTTTTGGAGTGTCAGAGGATCCTGATTATTTTCAGGAACATTTTTGCAGCGGTTATGTTATGGAAGTCGAGGAGAGTATATTTATGTCAATTTTTCGGTGATACCAATTATTTATAAGTTCCCTACCTTGTTGAATCTACGCACCTATTAGACATCATATCGTAAGGTTGATTTTGCCCTTAAAACTTGAACAGTGGAGACGTATTTTCTGTATGCACAACCCAATAAGCGTACGTATGTCTACTTCGAACGCTGAGCGATAATCACTGATGACGATGCGTCTAGCCGGGTATACAACGCCGTGCTGGATTGCCACGCTGCTCGGTGATCGGTAGTGCTGGTAGGGCGGTAGGCTAGATCGAAATATTGTCAGATCTGTGAGGACTGTGGACTGATCCGTTTAGTTCGTTCGATACATGTACGTTCCAAACTTTTTCAATTTCTCAGATCTGCTCAACACGACATACATTTAAGTCATTTCGGTTTTGAGATCGTTCAATAGAGCTTGGTAAGATCCAAGCGTGGGGTCTAATTTAAAAAAAAAATTAAAAAGATACGCTTTAGAAAGGCTAGAAACCTGAGTAACGTAGAAAATCAAAAGCTATAGATTGGTCAACAACCAATAAAAAGACAAACCCCTTTTAATTTTCATTTACCTTTTTTAAACTTTGCTTCAGGTCTGTCCAAATGCGCCTCTACACTATGCACAAAAGAGAGTTTGTTATGGTTTTCGTCGCATTCTTTGCATGTTTTGGCCTCGGTATCTTCGTAGGCGTCGCCGGGCCTCCCATCACCAAAACAACAGTCGTAGACAAGTCTCTGCTTCTTCCAAAAACGAATAGTTCGAATGGGTATAAAAGGGACATCGCCTCAGGCCCTTTCACGATGCGGACGCCAACTATGACCACTTATAGTCAACAACTGTGGGTCATTACCAAGCTTTCTACAGAAAATACCGATGGTGAGTAAAGACTAAAGACTACTATAGGTAGTATTTTTCTCAAGAATAGGCGGCCGAGCCCTTTTTGTTTGATTTTCGTTGCCTGTATTCAAGACCTATACCATACTGACAACAACTTAAAAACATGAAACAGAGATGGGTAGCAAACAGGTTCAACTAATATTGTTACTAATTTTATAGTATTACAATCGTTATTTTTCTTTGAGATCTGAATGCTTCCAGACAGTGAATGAATGACATTTTGATACTGCAAAATGGATGATTATTGTTAATGTTCCAGGTGAAATTATTGACAAGCAGTTTCAAGTGTCAGTAAGCATATCAGGTTTAACAGAAGACCATAAGCCTGTAGCCATATTAGATTCAAAAAACAACAATAGGTAAGACAATGTCCTACGAATTATTTGGAATCTAAACTAGCTGCTAACTATTATTGATGCAACGAAAAAAAATCTCTGAATCGGTCCAAAAGCTTTAAGTGAATTAGTTTTGTACATCCTGTGCTATCTTTTCAGGACAAGGCATCTAAAATGTGAGAAACAAGCTTGTGATGAAATCATTGTACTCCATTTAGGCTTTTTGGATTATACGCATTATATTATAACCGTGCATTTTTATGGGTTAGAAGCATTTCATCAGAGGTATAACATAAAGGATCTCAAGTTCTATGTAAGTTCATGTCTGAATAGCTACAAATTGAGGAAGTAAATCTAACGGTGTAATACTTTCTAGTTCAAGACGTACAATCCAGGATTTACAGAGATAGAAATTTGGTTCCGCTTTATATTTTTAATAATGACGTTCTCAGTAATGGTAAGTAAAAGATGCGCTTCTGGAGATAAATTTGTTTAACAGTTCATCTCTTTTCATTTATAGTGCTGGTTCCAACACTCTCTGAGGAAATACCTGCTATATGATTGGTCAATAGAACAAAAATGGATGTCCATATTATTGCCTCTTCTTATGGCTTACAACAGTAAGTAGTTGCCATATTTAGTGGGTTGGAAAATATCCTAATATACGAAGATAATATAATTGAAAATTATAGAGGTTATAACAGAACCACAGTAGAAAATGTTTTCCAACCATTCACTTACCTATATAACAAATGCTTTTAGTCCGGCATATATTCTTCAACCTAAAAAAAGGAGATATAATACCGATGCGTATAGCAGGAAAAAGACAGATGTTAATATTCATTCACTAATATCAATAATATCAGGTATAGCAAAAGTTTCTGAAAAAGTTCTATCTACTAGAACACTACCTTACAAAATCAATATGGATTTTCAAATTACAAATCAATTACATCAAAGTGTTGATAGCAAAGTTGCTTCTCTTTGTATGTTTGTTGACTTAAAGAAAGGTTTCGACACTGTAAATCATGAATTATTATTAGAAACATTAGATAGAATCGGTTTTAGAGGAGAAGCGTACTCACTTTACTCAAAGCATCTATCAAGCCGCCTACAAAATGTGTAGATATCCAAATGATATAACAAGGAAATTCATATTAAGTGTGGTATCCCACAAGGTACAATCTTACGTCCACTCCTATTTAATATATATTCAAACGATATTTTACAAATTAATACCATTGACTGACCTGATCTACAACCATATACTGCATTTCGGTGTCTAAAAAGGGCTCTGAAAGGTACTAGCGCCATCTGTGAGAGAGTAGCAGAATCTACTTCTAAAGGAGTAAGATTGTTTGGTTCTGTTACTCTCCGATAGGTGACACTACGATGTACATATACAATCGCTTTTCGACTTCTAATGCCTATTTTAATTGTATAGGCATTTTCAGCTTGTATACGAAAACTCTTTTTCTTTCAGATCCAGTATTTCCAATGTCGTTTCTCCTGAATTCCTGGATACCAGGGATGATCGATGCTATAGCGCAAGCAACATTTTTATGCGCGTTGCTACTATTCTGGCTGTGCATTTACCACGGCCTCAGACAGGTACCTTTAGTTCTGATATCATGATCGGTACTTACAGAAAGCTGAGACCTTCAAAATTGTGAGACTCTTAACTGCCAACGTCGCAAAGCTTATTTACCAATATATTTCAATTCGTAAAATTTCGCAAGTACATCGATAAAAAATAGACTATGCACTAATATGTGACGAGTTTGATCAATACCTTGAACTTATAGTAACGTCATTTTAGACTACGTTACAAAACTGCTCTTACTGCTTGTAGTCTGAAAGATTCAGATGAGGGTGCTTCAAGATATTACATAAATACATATATGGTTGAGGCACTTGAATAGAATTCCGTTATTTTTTGTTGCAGAACGATCGCCATTTTGTAACATTTTACCTGCCAAAATTATTCATAGTTGCAATGCTTTGGATACCTGCTATCATATTGTCAACTTGGCAAAGGATAAACGAATTGCAGGACCCCACATATAACCATACCGTTGACACTTCCAATTTTTATGTAAGTATTATTAATTCTTAATATCCGGAAGCATGAACAATCGTTAGTACTACTTGCAGAATTTTTGAATTTCCACGTTCAAAAATAGAAGTAAAGGTATTTCCCACGGAATTTCGGCGATTAGTCAGATTATGTTCGGCTTATTTGCAGACCTAGGGTCATGTGAGCAATGATTCAAAAGAAATCTTTTGAAACAATTAAAGCAATTATGGAAACGATCTATGTAAGCATAGCATAGCATAGCAATGCGACAAATATTCTTAACGCGGGTACCGAAGCTAACCTGTGGTCAAATATACGCCGCACGCCTATGGCCTGCCTGTACATATTTCGCCGAGGTCAGACAATTTACCGCTGTCTTTGCGACCACCACAGCACGGGGAGCGGATAGCTGACCTTGAGACCTTATTCGTCAATGTAGTACTCAACTGACGTGTTTTATTATCAGTGTTGCAATTTGTCAGATAGATGCTTAGTATTACCGATATCAGAAGCTTAATAATAGATCGACTTCCGCTGATATCAAAGATGCAACGTTTAGAACCACCTAACTCTTACAATCCCCAACCACCAATTTTTAGTGTGTAGATTTTTTTCTGAAAATTATTAGGAGCCGCAGGTTTGAGAGATTTTTATTCCTTTTTAGTTTTTTCTCGTAGCTTCGCCGATACTGGATTCATTTTCAAACACTGTAAAGATTTTCCGCCCTTGGCATGATCGTAATTTTTTTTCAAAATTTGATCAAAATCCGGCCAGGACTTTCCAAGTTATGGCTGGTCCAAGGACTAGCGGGCAGACCGACAGACAGACCAGCGGAAATGAGTGACATGTTTTTTCGTGATGTAGATAAATGTATAGCATCTAAAAAGCATAATATCTGATTTTCGAAATTTTTCACGAATACGTTACTTCCTCGCCAGTTAGTGTGAGAAGTAAAAATATAAGAATTCTTCCTTAAAACATGACTCCTGATTTAAATAACAATACCGTTCGTTTGAAGAAGTATCCACTCTTCTATTCTTATTTCAGATTTCTAATTAACGTTTATGTTCGTTTGCAGATAATCCAAGCGTTCTTCTATATTTTTGGAGTAATATATCTGATATACTTGTTCGTTTTGATACTAAAGGCGTATACAGAGCTGCGATCAATGCCATTTTTTGGTAAGATAGTGGTGTTCAAATGGAATTACTTTCAAAAACAAATTAACATATTCCTTAAGCATTGATTCCTTATCAAGGTATAAGCTGTTGTATTTAATTCTCGAATTACTCTGTATATTGGTATCAGTAAATATCACACTTGTTGTTTTTAGGTCTTCGCTTGAAGTTCTTAACATTGCTGATGCTGGTAGTGCTAATCATAAGCTGTGTCATAACGGTCTTTAGGTTTGGAATTGGAGTTTTGGAAGACAACTTTGTAGCACAGCTTTCTACTCATTATAGCAACTCTTCGGAGTTCATGTCATTTTATGGACTGTTGAATTTTTATACCTATACAATGACCTACGTCTACTCACCTGGTAGCAAAAACATCCATGGTAAGTGATCTGGGAATAGAAGCTTCCTAAGCTTATCATAACTTTGCTTTAGTCCCGTATCGTCAGTCGTCCCTACAATAATTGTAGGGCGCGTTTATGGCCTCCTTGATTGTCATAGTTTACTTTACTTCTCCGTGTCAGAACTCTATTTAGAGGTTATGTCACAAACATTTATTTGCATCAAATTATGCTTGCTTTTGAGTTATATCGTGTTTTATCAGCATGAAATTTCCTACAATTTAAAAAGAAAACATATCTTCACAATAGGAGAGCGCTGACGCTGACACGGGACAAGTGTAATCTAGAAATTTTTGAAGGATAGAAAGGAGTATGACAATCAAGGAGGTCATAAACGCGCCCTACAATTGTAGGGACGACTGACGATACGGGCGAGATGTATGTTTAAAGAGAAGTACCTTGTTACTTCCTTTTTGGTGACAACCTATATTTCAGTGCATTCTTTTTTTTTCAGAGCTCGGTATCACCAAAGATAACCCTGCATTTTCAATGATAAACGACTCCGACGAGGACGTGATATACGGATCAGACGAAGAAAGTAGAAGGCCTTTGAACAGAACAAGAAACGACGACGACAGCGATTGAAGATTGATAGAATAAACGATGTTGGTTTCATATCTAGTCGATGTTGTTCGGTCAGATCGAAGTTTCAGGATGCTTGTATCAAGTGTAAACATTATTATATCTTAGAGATGTACGAAATTCATTATGACTTTGTAAGTTACTTTACAGAATAGCTATGAACTTTCAAACTTGTAGCAAATTTACTCCAATGAGATGACGTGTACAGAGTGTTCCGTACTTTAATGGAAATAGTGGACCAATAAGTAGTATGGACGGAGATCTTTTGAAATCTGAAAATAAAAAGTTCTAAGTTCAGTGTCTACGCCTAATATTTAATATCACATATGCCCTTTTGAATCATTTTTTTCATATTTGAGACGATAACATAGTTACCTAGAAGCAACATAGAACTAGTTGAAAAATCCGGGGCCGCACTCAATGTCAAGTTTTAAGCTGAAAATTGAAATGTCTATTAACGAAACAATCCAATGGGTGGTGCTAATTATTAATTTTGATTTTCCCTCTAATCCATGCATTTTTCTTTATATGTGGAATCATAATAAATCTAAAGCGTAGCTTACATGGCGTTGCACTTAATAAAATACAAGTAAGTTAAGAAAAACAGCTGAATCTCACCATAGAATTTTGAGTTTCAGAAACACTTTTAGTTCAGTTTTGAGCATAATCTTGTGGAACGTGGATGAAGTCAAGCTAACATCCATTGATATTTTCAGTTTTGTGTCACATAAGCCGCTAAAAATAAGATTATTGAGTAAGTAAAAATGTTTCACTGAAAAACACTAATAAATGTCAAAACAATGTATTTCGATAATGAATTAGTACTATTTATTGCATTTGCTTGTATATATTCAAACATTTCAACATTCAGCTTAAGAGGTGTTCTTAAGAAACAAGAAAATGACAAAATTGAGCCCGGCCCTGGATTTTTCAACCGTCCTTCTAGTTTTACCCTACTCCCAGCTTATTTAGTTATTGTACAAGCTTTCAACAATTTCAATAGTGCCTGAAATATATATTACAGCGGAGCAGAAGCCTGATGTGAAGAGATTATACGTAATATTATATTAATTTGGTGTGCTTAAATATTGTAATCCCTAAAAACTGAATACTACCTACAGTTCCATTTAAGTACGGCACACCCTTGTATGTTTTTACAGAGGTAAGTTATTGGATTATGTTCATTTGATATTGTGATATTAGTTTAATAAACAGTCAAAAATGTTACCTTATTTCAACGTATTATTTTAAGTAGATGTATATATACTAAGTGACATATAAATCCGAACACCCAGTTTAAATGGTTTTATTTTAATAAAAGTTGGTGAATGTATTTATCTTACTGTAAATAACAAGTGAAAAAATTTTCAGCCTTATCAGTTTTTATACTGCTTTTTTTTAATTCACTAACGCTGTAAAAATGAATATTTCAGCCGCAGTAAAGAATCAACGTTGGCGGATTTTGGTTCTTGACATCCTTTACGATCGGTTACGATACCTAGAGTACGGAGACCTGTACGATTTCGTCAACTTAGTGAGTGTGATAGGGGCCGTATAGTGGGACTTCGGGAAGCTGGACTTTCTTTTCGGGCAATTGCAGTTAGAGTGCAAAGAAGTGTAGACACTGTGGTTAGGTGTTGTCAGGCATGGCTTCGAGAAGGCCGTACGCAAAGAGCAAGGGGCACTGGACGCCGCCGTAGAACAACAGACCGTGAAGATCGCCGCCTAAGATTATTTATTGGCCTTAAGGGACCGTTTCTCCACTACCAGGTCCATTGCAAATGAATGGTTTGCAGAACACGGAAGACCTATTGGCATGCGAAGTGTTTACCGACGAATGAGAAGTTTTGGCTTGTTTTCATACCGGCCACACTGGGTCCTCCCTTTAACTCGAGAACACCGACGTAATCGCCTTGAGTGGTGCAGACAACGGTCACTCTGGGATCAGGAATGGAACAGTATTGTCTTTAGTGACAAGTCTCGATTTTGTTTAGGCATGCACGAAGGTCGTGCCAGGGTTAGAAGGCGACGTGGTGAAAGGAGGAATCCACAGTTTTTTGTTGAAAGACATGTTCATCACACTGTTGGAGTTATGGTTTGCGGTGCTATAGCTTATGGTTCCAGGTCACCTTTAATCTTCATCAGAGGTAACATGAACGCGCAGCATTATATCCACGAAGTTCTAGAACCCCATCTTTTACCCTATCTTGACACCCTGGCAGATCCAACTTTCCAACAAGATAATGCCCGACCACATGTTGCAAGAGTCACAATAGACTTCTCTCAACATAATGATGTCACATTGTTACCATGGCCACCAAGATCTCCCGACTTATCCCCAATTGAGCACGTGTGGGATATGATGGGTAGGAGATTGCTCAATTTGCAACGTCCTCCTCAGACTCTAGAAGCACTTCGAGAGGAGTTGTTGGTTGCCTGGAATGAGATACCACAGGAAGACATTGACCGCCTGATCAGAAGCATGCCTAGGCGCGTTGGAGAATGGGTAGCACATCAGGGTGCATCCACACATTATTAAAGGTCAAAGGGCTTTAAAGCAGTGCAATCATTTTGAAATTTTTATCATTTACTTATTCTGCTTCATTAAGTACTTATACAAAATTTTATTAAAATAAAACCATTTAAACTTGGTGTTCGGATTTATATGTCACTTAGTATACATGTTCACTTGAAAGCTTCCCACCACGGATTTATCGAAAAGCACTGATCTTACACACAAAACTCGCCTAACGAAATCATTTTCGGTTAATTCTTGCAATATTTTCATTTTGAATGAATGAAAAATATGGAGTTTCGTAACTGTGTGACCAGAGTTTGAGGAAATACCAGTCGTAGCAACAATTTTGTGTAATGAAGTATTAGGATTTATTTTAAAACGACCCAAAACTTCAACTTGAGCGGCTTCATTCAACCAATTTTATGCGTGTAAATTAAACATTACATTGTAATGTTATTTGTTAATGTTTTTTGTTTATTTTTTTTGTTTTTTCTTTCTAAAATGCAAACGCTATACCGCCTTGGGAGGCGCGCCCCCCTGGTTGGGAACTCCTGATCTAAGCGGAAATGAAAAAATACAGTGAGTGAGGATCTATGGAAAATGAGGGTGAAATAGAGGGATATAGTGGCACAAGAGCGACAAGAATGGCTAACTGGGCAAAAACATTGGACACATTTATTGTCAATTCTCAGTAAAGTAGATATCTGTCAACAAAAACGTTTAGTTCTGAAAAAAGCAAGGTTGATTTTCTGTAAAAGAAACGCAAGAAAACAAACGAACATTTATTCTTTACATTATATTCAGCATAAACAAGTCGCAATATAAATTAATTCTATTGCTAGAAGACACATTTATTTTGTAAATTTATACAATAACATTCAGTACATGTTTGTTTGCGCAAACGATATCCGTACGCTCTAAGTGCGAGACCTCATTGTGATTTCTACCATTGCCATTTTCTGTTAAAAGGCCGAAATATTAATTACGATTCCTTTGATTTCCCGATCTTATAAGACACCGTTCCGGGCCGCGACAGAGACAGAATATCAGTTCATAGGGTTTCCCGACGACTAATTACTGTCAAGAAAGTTCAATTTCACCGTTGCTCAAATAGATCAAGTCAGTCAAACGGGCTCACAAAGTTGAAATTTGCATATTTATCACGCTTTTTTATACAGTTTTGGGGTTCTTTTGAGAAAAAGGTTAGCTACGAACAAAAAAAATCAGTGGATTAAGTCAGTCAAACAGGCTCTTACAATTGAAATTTGCATATTTATCATGCCTTTTTTGTACAGTTTTGGGGCTTTTTAGGATTTGGCCTTTATATAAAGTTATATCTTGCCGATGCCAATGACCGTGAGGAAAAGTCCTCTGGGCGCACATTGCCGTTGCTATGATAAATCCCGCGCGGGTGACGATATTGATGTTCCACATCCACAGCAGATGCAAGCCAGGTCCATTTTTCAGTTTTTAAAGTATAGAGGCTGTTTGAAAAATAGACGCAGGTATTTCAGAGGGTTTGTTAAAGAATATGAAAAAAAGTTTCTATAAACATGGGTGTGGAAATGCATAGTTTCAAAATACAGGGTGACGAATTACATATACTTTTTTAAATTATATCTTAAAAAATATATGGTTCTGTTAAAATTTCGCAATATTATCTATTGTATTGAAATGCTAATTTAGATAGATTAAAATTATTAGCTCCAGTGGCGTCCTGGGGGAGACTATTATTGGCAAAAAAATCTAGGCCACTGCATTTTTTGTGACTTTACTATTCTTTGTTTGACTAAGCATCTAAAAATACAACTTCTTTGCTTTTTGTATTTTTTCGTACGTAACTTCGTTAAAAAAATCCAAGCCATTTTATTGCGTCACTGGACCAAATTGGCTTATTAATTTTTGCACAAAAATCCATTCCTGCATAGAAGTTTGGCATTTGCGCGTCAGTTCTCCTAAAAAAGAATTATTCACGTTATTTTATTTGCGAAATTTCTCTAAAAAGCTTAGCATTTTTTTCCAATGCATCACCCTGTATCTTAAAAACTCTGTATTTCCGGACCCACACCCACTCAACAATATCTAATGAATCACCGGGGTCAAAAAAATTAAATATCAACCCCCACTCCCTACAATCCCTAATCTCCAGTTGCCTACACTTTGGTTTGACCTTGAGGGTAATTGTCAAGGTCTGTTTTAAACTTAACAGTAAATACCCAAAAATAAACGAATCAGATATTTTTAAGATGACATTAACCGGAAGTTCCAGGCCAAAGCAGTTCAAGGTCATGCCTGAATGTAAAGTTTTCCTCTGTATCCATTTGCGGGGTAGTAAGTTTAGGATTTCGCTTACAAAAATCGCCTGACTCTGATTTGGCATTCAAGTTCGTTGGCGAAGCAAGGGTAAAAATCCTAAACCATAAAAAAACCGCAGTGAACTCTCGCACCGATATACTTACAGAGTAGTTTGCTTCTTGTCAACATTGAGTCTAGGGATAAATAACTAATTACAACCATTTTTTGGAGAGACGGGAGAACGTAAATGCTTATACCAAAACCACAACTTGTATTCAAAGACGACATTCATCCTTCGATGTACCAGACTGACCAAGTGCTTCAATAACTGAATCACTTAATAAATTTTCTAGAAACAATACCCTTAGTTTAGAATATCAGAGTTCTGACTCTTTCGTATTTATTCTTACTTGTGATATTTGAGTTGTGCTTTTAGTACAATATTGGGTCACTATCTACATATACGTGGTACATATATCGATATTTAGTATAATCACTGTGATTGTCTGTACATATTTAACAACTTTTGATAACGGTAAAATGGTATAACAAAAACTTTCGATTCATTTAGGTTATCGATGAGGCAGAATAACTTATAGTCGTCAGTCATGTTAGTTTGCAGATGTAAGTTGATCAACGATTTCGAGTAGATTGAAGCGGATTGATAAGGAGTATAAAAGTGGAACTTGATCTTGTAGTGTAGGAAGCTGGTCTTCCCCTAAATTTTTTGCCGAATCTTGTGGTTCAGGCGGCAGCACCCCAAACATGTAAGCAGTACTCCGGGTTGGGCTTTATCTGTACAAAATGATGGAGAAAAGCAGCTGCCGCTATTGTTGTGTTCGTGCCAGGCCGAGCCCAGTGATATGGACTCCAACCAGCCGAAGTGAACGTTCCTTTGGTATAAGTTGACCATAAATCCAATCCGGATGAGAGCTAGAGCGCTTCTTGTTAGCCAAGCAACAGTACTGTGGTTTGGAAACTGCTTTGTCGTATCGAGACGTGTTCTGTGACCTCTATTCCCAGAATGATTTTTGGTCTGGTGTCACAATTAATTATTTCAGACAAATCTAAAGCTTAGAAATTGACATCCACTTTTGGCAATGAGTAGCGCTTTGGTGTTGTAGATAATGATTAAATTCTGTTCAAAAATTGTCAAAATTCGCTTGAATTGAAAAAGAGGAGTTACGATATGCCTAATAATATTCAGAGTTGTGAAGAAATATTTCTAATAGAGATAACAGATTGTCGGGTTTTTCAGACAAGATTGCATCTTCTAAGAGCACCACAGATCTCTAACAGCGAGAACACACTAACACAGTGCTACTTCTATTTTGATTATAATACAACAGAAATCTACTTTAGTGAATTAACGGTAAGAATTTGACTTGATTTTTTATAACCGAACTACTTTAGTTATTTTGGAACAGTCTTCAAGAATATTTTGTTTTTGTAGGCTTGCCATTCTGGATATAAAAAAGATGTTGAGCAGTACTAAGACTTCAGTCTACAAAATTTAGGAATATGGTCGCCAGATAAGAAGATAGTTCAGTAACCAGTCTATTGCACATGCGAAAAATCGTAACCCTAAAGCCGGTGAGACCTGACTACTTATTAAAAAATTTAAATAAACCGGTGGACAACATGAAAATTTTTATCCAAATTCAGATTCTCAATTTTTGATCTTTGGAATTTTTCTAAGCATCTTTGTGATCTTGTGATCGATGTATACTAACAATATTGTTTAAAATAACTGTTGCTGTTTTGTAAGAAGTTCGTATTTGTCATAAAAATGATTTAGATATTTGACTGATATTTAAATTTTTGTTTTCTAAAATGTTACATATTGTTAAAGTTAATCAATAAACTTTTAGATGTAGTTAAAAAAAATTGGTAGGTTCTATTACCTGTTGCAAAACATCTCCAATGAACACACGTACGCTAAAGATGAATGAGAAAGATAAAAAGTTCCAGATAAAAGATGAATAGCAGTGTTGTCCAGCATCATAACATTTTGAAAAATACAAATTTTAAAGTTATTAGTACTTCTTAACAAACAAAAAAATGTTTTTGGTGTTACGCCACTGGAATACACGCCTACATTGAGAGTAGCAACTTAGATTTGTTGATTAAGCTGTTTAATTCCATAGTAAAATTTATAAATTCGTTTTAAATTACCCACTTAATGTCAAAGTAGCAAATCTTCAATCTTTTCTCGGGCACAATAAATTTCACTTTATGCAAAAGTATGAGAAAAAATATCCATTCTCAAGCGAAACCCCAAGAAAGTCACTTTTTTAGAAAAAAATGTAACACTTGTTTAAAATTCGGCAACTTGAGTTACAGCCAACTTTCGAATAATTTAAGAAATCTCTTTTTTTAGGATCCAAAAATCAAAAAGATGAATAGAAAAATTACCAAGATCTGACATAGGCCCAAACGATTTTCACTTGATATCGTGGAGTTTCTCTTAACTTTTCTTACATCGGAGTGATATGCCTACTTACTAATCAACGAATCAATATTTTTCGTATGTGCAACAGATCAAGCCCCAATTGTTACTTTCAACCACAAGTGAGTTAAAATGGCTCAGTAGAGTAAAATCGGAAGTATATAATTCGACAATGATTGTCTTGAAAGGTACCTATAATTGAACTGATGAGCATTCATCAGGAATTAAGAGATTTTAGATATTTTTAGAGGTGATATACATTTATAAAGGTATCCAAAATTCCTCAAATTTGTGCGTACATAGGTCACAAACATTATATATAATATGTACAACCGAAGGTATATGGTTTTGTTACAGATTTATCTACCTGGCAGAATGAGAAATACCATGATTTTTGCAAAATAATGGAATTCTGTCCTGTTTCTTGGTCTAAATAGGCGACAGAAACATATACCTTTACGATAATTTACCAGACACGCATCGACCAAACATATCGACGACCTCAAATCAATACCTCGTATATCAAAAAGTAGCATTTTGCAGGAGGCATAAAAAACTGCACAGCTTGAACATAAAAGATCATATCCATGTGAGGTATTAATATTTAGGATCTTGGAGATATTAAATCGACTCCTATAACTGGTTTGAACAATAACTGTTTGTTGTTCACTTTATTTTGTACATACGAGTTATTGAATACAAAAAATCCTTGACTTACGTGTTTTTGTCGTAGTCACCTGGGAATTTTAAATTCCATAAAAACAAAATAAAAATAAGCAAATAAGTTATAACTTAGTTAAACAGCTTTTTTAAAGTATACTTGTTAAGAAGACATAGGTCACAAAAAAGAATTGGACTGTGGGTGGGACTACATTATGTTTGTTGGGCGGCTTAGTCCAAAACTCGCCTTACAATCGATAATAACGAATGGAGATAAAAAGAACTAAATGGAGCTGAAGCAATGCTTGACCGCGGTAAACCTTTTTGTGGACCTATGCTATCTTTTATCAGGTACAACATAAAAAAAATAACACAAATGAAGTTATTGCACAACGTAATGAGTCGCTAGCAACAATGAAACTATTCGTAGTGAGGTAGCTGGTCATAAAACGGCCAAACGTCCTTAGACAAAACTGCCTTTAACTTTTGGAGGTGGTCGAATTTGGTGTTTTTAATCTTCAGTCCTTCTTTGTGTAACTGCATTAGAACCACATTCTCGGTTGGCTTTGTACGGGTAGTCCTCATCGGCAGTTCTTGATAAGGGTCGTCAAATTTCAATTTATAGAAGATTTTTCCAGTTGGGGAGTATTGCAGTGCTCGGAGATCCGTTACGGTAGGATCGTTAACCTTTCGTCCAGGTCTTATCGACTTATATACTTGCACGTTGTTATAATTAGTAAAAAAATCATGATCAACCATTACTGATTCATATTTGAAGGGCTTTGACCTTGATTCTTCACATATCCTTACATAGTCACTTGGTAGAACTATCTTTCTGTCAATTAGTTTTCTTTCTATTGTAGCATGCACACTATCACACTCCATTTGAGTGTGTCCCTTTATCAAGAACTTTTGCTCAATTGTGACATTCAAATCCATAGCCAAATGCAACAGTGCATTAGACATAATGGTGTTTCGGTTCTGATAAGTGCAACCATCCGAGTATATATTTATTGGTTTTTCACAATTAAAATGTTTCCTGATGTAATCTACAATAAATGAGGCAAACGTTGAGGCCTGTAAGTCACTACTAGTTTCATCAAACCAATAACAAGTACAGTCTCTCGTCGCTAAATTGTAGACGGTGAAATTGTGGACACATAGCTTGGTTTTGAAGTATGCCGTACTAGCCATCACTGATGGACACACTTTAACAGCTTGCAAATCCATTGTCAGAACGTGTTGAGTACCTGTCAAAGCTTCCTCTTTATCTTTGCTTTTTTCCACTCTTGCCCGCTCTTTTTCAGCTTGATGTATTTTCCAAGTTTCTTCAGATATGTTTTTCTCTTCATATTGACAGCAGATGTCGCAAGCATCCTTTTTGGGCTGATACAACGCAATATTCAGTTTCTTCGCCATCTTAGTAAGGGAATTTTGGCTCATGGGCTTTTCATTCGACTTCTCACAATGTTGAACATAAGCCTGGTAAAGACTCGTAATGTTTCTGAACGACTGTTCTAAGTATAATTTTTTTGAGTCCTTACGACAATAGTGCGACGGCAATTTGTTTAAGTTATTTAAAAATTGCTTCATAAAAACATTAGATTGCCGATTTGACAATATCCCTCCTATTTCTCTCCTTTCTGGTTTTTTATCATGAATTCCGTGTTCACTCTTACATGCCCAATGAAGTACTTGCCATTCTCTCAGTCCAAATGTTGAAAGAAACATTTTCTTACACACAGGCATATTCACCGAGCCTACCTTCAAATGATATTTCAATGTACCAGTGCGTCTAGATTCCAAATTCATCATGTTTCTTTTATCCTTGACTGGTATCTTCATGACCAAGCTTGCCACATAGGTTTTTCTCTGCTCCCAGTTTAAATCAGACCAGAATTTTTTGAAAATATCTTGGCGTATACTTTCATCAACCTCATTTTGATGACTTAATACAAAATTGTGACGAACATTCTAAAGATTGTTTTCTCGGTTCCCTTTGTGCATCGTGAAACGTGTTCGTTTGATTTTTTGGCCTTCTGTAGCCCATGTATTGCTTTCCTTTCATTCGAAGATCTTGATTGATTTTTTTTAAGTTTCCACCAGCTAAGCGTTTTCGTGGTTGTGCCTGTACTTCCTTGTCGCTGAAACTATTTTCACGATATTTCGTGACTTTTGACTGTATTTCACTATCTTTTTGGCAACCCATCTCCTTAAGTACTGAAACTTCGAGTCCTGCATTTTCAGCTGCTGCCTCAACACCTGGAGTTTGATTTTGAACGATATCTGAACACTCGAATTCTGGATCTGCAAAGTTTGTAGCTTCAGATAGTCCTTCGACTTCTAAAACTTCTCCGTGAACAATTTCCATATTGTCAAACTCCGGAACTGCTAGACTTGTAGTTTCAACTGATTCTAGAATTTCTGCATCAATCATACCAAACGTTTCTATAAAACTCTCGTTGACTATGTCTACTGGTAGATCTAAGATATTGAAGTTTTCTTTTTCGCTGATATCCGGAGTAGTAATAGTGACATTGTCTTTTTTGCTAGACATATACCCCACTGGTACTTTATGTGGTGTGTTGTTACACAATTCCAGTATACGTTTACTCCGGGAGCTCATATTGTATCATTCTGTAATTGAAAACAATACCACGTAAGTCATATATTCCGGAACACAAATTCATTATTATATCATGTACAATAGCTCGTAAGTCAAGCGTCTGTTTTACCAACGAATAGGCACCAACTATTTTAAAAATTTTTAGTTCTCAGCTATCTAATAAGTTTTCTGACAAAGTATGACATTCTGTAGTTTTATTTTACACATGCATATACAGTATTGCAACAAACTTACCAGCACATTCACGCTATACAGCAAACTTAACCTAGCATATAGGAGATATACGCGCTATTGAATCTATTTTTCATCGCTCCGATTTACGTGGTATTGTTTTATGTATTTATGCAACCAAACTAGCAGCTATATACGGCTCGCTGTCTAACTGTAGCTAGGGAAGACTTACAGGAATCAGAAGCGATCAAAATAAGAAAATCAGCATTTTCGGACTTACGAGGTATTGATTTGAGGTCGTCGATATAAAAGTAGAATACACGCTTAATACTTATAGTCAAAATGTCACTTATACCCTGTTCAAACAACACTTAGTAAACATTAGGCCAAACTATTTAACAAATATAGAAATCTACAATATCAACATTCATAATCTAAATGTCAGTTCTCAACATCAAGTAGTATTTACCTTCTGTTTGTAGCTTCTCTGGGACAGTTGGAGAACACAAATTTGTGGTTTTGAGTTATTTTTCCATAAAATGACACCGAAAACTTTTTGAACAGCTCAACCTATTTTAAAGTCCCCAACTGAACCTAGTGAAGACTACTTCGACAATTTTATACATGTAGTTCAAAACAATTCCTTCTGTTCATCACCTGGGTAATAACTTTATGTTTTCACCTCAAATCTGTAGCGAGCTACAATATTGCTTGCGTCGTTGCTTTTTTTTCAGATGGAAGAACTATACCTCATACTAACTCAGGATCACTATGCCAGTAAAATATAAGACTTCTTAATAAAGTCAATATCTACAAATTGGCAGACGCACCCTCACAGCTTTGCAAAGTTATATTCAAAGATCATCTTAAGGCTACTAACGTTTGACATAATCGGTTAGCTTTTGTATTCAAAAATTTATAATTCAAAATACGCTTCATATTTGTGCCTTCGTATGCAGTACATGCATTTTTTTAAAATTAATGTACCCCATATACAGGGTGGCCCATAAGTCCTTTGAGCTGGAAAAAAAGGAATAAAACCAAACTAGTTACATTATGAAGAATTATTATATTTTGTTATCATCTTTATTGAATGGGAATTATGTTTTAAAAATCACATCGTCTAAATGCAATCCATTACGATCACGGCACTCATATAAACGACGTCTAAAATTGTCGATGACTGCGCGGCAAGTCAACAGTGTAATGCTTGCCATTTCTCTTCGGATATTTTCTTTCAGGACATCAACTGATCGCGGAGTGGTGTCGTACACTTTACTCTTGAGGTAGCCCCATAAAAAGAAGTCCACTGGGGTCAAATCTGGACTACGTGGTGGCCAGGAAATGTCTCCTCTTCGAGAAATTACTTTGCTGGGAAAAAATTGACAGACGACGGGCATAGAAGTGTTGGAGGTGTGGGCAGTTGCTCCGTCCTGTTGAAACCAGGTCTGCGTATTATAGCCTGGAAAATTCTGCAACGCTGGTGTCAAAAACTCTTCTATCATTGCTACATACCGCTCCGAAGTAACAGGTAATGCGCGACCTCTGTCGTCCTCAAAAAAATAAGGGCCTACGATGCCATTCGCTGACATAGCAGCCCAAACTGTAACTTTAGGGCTGTGTAAGGGCTTCTGATGCTTACGCCTTGGATTTTCGGGGCTCCAATAACGGCAATTTTGTTTATTTACATGCCCGTTTAAATGGAAGTGAGCCTCGTCCGAGAACAACATTACTAACATTATTGAGCGAAGAAAATCGATTCAACATTTCATTCGCAAAGTTTAGTCTCTGAATAGCGTCATTATCTTTTAATTCCTGCACTAACTGAATTTTGTAAGCGTGCAGACGTAAATCTTTCCTTAAAATCCACTGTAAAGATGTTCTGGGTACGTTTAGTGCACTGGAACGCTTACGAGTAGACTGGGTAGGATTTTGACGAACAGACTGTGCCACAATGTTGATGTTTTCTTCAATACGAGTTGTCCTTGGTCGACCCCACTGCTGTTTATCTAACGTCGAACCAGTCTCTTCGAACTTAGCAACCCAGTTCTTAATCGTTTGAGCTGTTGGACACTTTGTAAAATTGTGTAAATTGTGGTATTCTCGATATTTACGCCGTGCAATGGTTGCCGAATCATTATTTTGATAAAACGCGCGCACACAAAAAGCACGATCCGCTCTAGTGAAACACTCCATGGCGACTGAATTCCCAGACACTGAAGATACTGCCCCCACCTCGCCCGCGCCGCTCACGCTCACCCGTTAAATTTTATTCATATTTGAAATTTCAAAGGACTTATGGACCACCCTGTAATTATAGAATATTTTTTCCGAAAAATGCACAACTTTAACAGTATTTTTGCGAGTAGTTTTCCGATAAAATGAGTTAATGAGTTATTAAGGATGTTAATAAACGTAAAAAGTACTTTGTGTTATTTGGGGCTTCCTGAAAATAACAACTATTAATAAATACCACATGATTCATGGTCAGAAAGAATTATTTGTGGATATTCACATACCTTTATTGAATCTCAAGCAACCTCCCACCCATTGAAAATTCATTTCCACAGATAATGTGTTTGTTTATTTTGAATTGTTATTTGTGAACCACTACAAATAAATTAAGGATTGAGTAGTTCACCCCTCAATAATAACCAGAGTAAAGCTTATAAAAGGATAATCAAAAACCGTTAAGCCCTGCCTCTTTACCGAGTCGCAGCAGTTTAATCGGGCTCTTGAAAAAGTTTAATTTCTACCAGTAAAACAACGTAATTTGTGCATAGTGACATATCCATACCATCAAGATAGAAGCCAACAGCCTACTGTGAGTAAGAAACCACCGAATTTTCATCGATATTCCGCTGTTGAAGCAATACAGCAGTGTGTGCTAGCCACAGTGCTGAGATTTCCTCCTGCGTTTGTGGAATTCACGTCGCACAAAAAGACTCCTTCATCGTCGTGTTACAAAACACAGTACCGTACTCAGATATGGTCACAGCATATCTGAAAGAAGGCAATTGAACCAATAAAGATGTCTCTCCAAAGTATTCCTACAACATCAACAATTATCACCAATGCTCCATCTTATTCTACTGTACTAAATCAGCCAGTCACTTACAAGCATCCCAATAAAGATCAAGCCATCGTTTTTAATTCCATCGAGGGTACCAGGATACAAGATTACCTCTTGGAGCTGGGCCCCATAGTAGATCCAAAAAATATAATATTCTGCTCCAGGATTTCAAATAACCGTATATGCATTTATTTCTCCAACAAGCAAATAGTCGACAAATTTCTCAATAATCCTGGAAAAATCGAATTGCAAGGACAAGTTGCACATGCACGGCGACTAGTAGCACCTGCAGATAGATTAGTCATCTCAAATGTCTGCCCCACAATACCGCACGCAAAAATCAAAGATAGTATACAACGTATAGGCATCAAAACAGTTTCGCCTATTTCATTTCTGAAGATCGGCGCACCTCTTCCTGAATATAATCATATTTTAAGTTTCCGAAGACAGGTATATATTGAACCGCTAGAATCTGAAATTCCCAATTCTCTAGAAATTAGCCACGATGACCTTACGTATCGAGTATTCTTATCTCTTGATAGTCAAAGCTGCTTCAAATGCAAAATGTCAGGTCACATTGCTTCTCGATGTCCAGCGTCCTCCAACTCTTCATCCACAACACAAACGCTTAATGAAACCCCAAGCCCAACTACAACCTCAGCAACTGCTCAGCCAACAAATGACCCATCAGAGACCAGCGCTACCGCACTTAATTTGGCGCAGGCAGAATCTTCGATGTCAACAGTAACCTCCGTAAATTCGATAAATACAACTAGTGCAAACAACAAGAGAAGCATTTCCGAAATAACAACTCCAACTTCGGAAGCAACACCCTTCACTGATCCCAACTTAATGCCAGAGCTTGTTATACCCAGACAAAATCCAAAGAAAAAGCCAAAATCAGACCCTACACACTCTTATATTCTAGACGACAATATGGAATCAGTAAAATTGCTCATAAATAGCAGCGATGAGAACTACATCCTCGACTATAATCAGCTGAAAAGCCTCCTTGAGAATACTCATGGTGCAAAAGACACAATAAGCATTGTTCACGAGTACACAGCAGATATAAAATCACTCATTGAAATGCTCTTAACAATTTATCCTCATATAAAAGACAAAACAATAAAAAACCGCGTAACCAGACTGAGGAAAAAACTAGAACGCCATTTAGAGAATAAATCTAACGATTCTTATGACGAAACCTCTTCAGTGGACTCCACATTTTAATATGCTATCATTCAACACTATTATCCAGTGGAACGTAAATGGATACTTCTGCCACCTGAATATGCTAAAGCTTCTGATATCTTCCAAAAACCCAGATATTATGTGTATACAGGAGACCCACTTCCGAGGAAACCAATCACATACTCCTAAGCATTACCAAGGTTTCTTCAAAAATCGCGCACAAGACACAGCTAGTGGAGGAGTGTCTATTTATGTGAAAAAAGAAATACCGGTGATGCAGCTCAACCTCAAAAGTAATTTGGAAGTAATAGCAGTCTCGTTAGAAGCTCCAAAAAGGATCAACATATGTAATTTGTATATCCCTCCAGACTATCACCTAGAAGCGGCAGAACTGGAAGCACTGTTAGATCAAATTCCATCTCCAAGAATACTGTTAGGTGATTTCAATGCACATAACTTCGCCTGGGGATCACACAAAAATGATATTCGTGGCAAAATAATAAGCAACGTCATAGATGGATCCAACATGTCTATACTCAACAACGGAAATGCAACTCGATTT